AACAGTCCAACCTTATAGTGAATAAAATCTAGTTGATGTGTGTTCAAATTAGTGATTCTAAAATCTCGTTTTTATCGGATTCCATAGGCTTTACGTATATCCGGTCTTTTCGGCAAAGGTTCGTTTTAGACGAATATAGTTCCTCGGCCGCTTCCGCCTAAAAAAATTTTAAAACCAAATATTGGTAAGCACCGACTCTGTTTTTAACAAGTGATCTATTCAACCCCCCCCCCCCCCCCCCCCGTTCTAGATCTGCGCCATCGTCTAACAAGGGTTTTGGTCAAAGGCAACATGTGACTGATTTTTAGAGCTAATCATGATTCTAAGATTCAACATACATCTCAAGGGTTCCATATATGCCTCATGGTTCATCATAAATGATTTCATAGGATTCCAAGTGGATAGAGGAAGATTTTGAATTCACCTTATCAAGAAAAGTCAACTAATACTCTAAGTGAGTCAAAGCTTGATTTTTGAGTTCTTGGGTCATATTTGGATATTTTAAGTTACCATGCATGTTATCATGAGGTTTGATCAGGAGAAATCAAGAAATTCCCAAAAGTTGCTAAATTAGGGGTATTATGAATTTCACTAAGTATGGAGAATTCATATTCATGTGAACGTCTTGCAAGATTTATATCTCCCTTATCCTCGATCCAAATGGTGCAAACCAATGCTTAAATTGAATATGATATCTCATACTACAAGTTTTTAGAAGATATGAACTTCAAAATATGTATGGATCAAGAATTGTGAAGACATGAAGTAGAGAATAAGTGGGATTCAAGTTTCCAACACTTAGAATTTTTCTAAGTGTCAAAATTCAACCAAGATTTCATGTTTTCAATGGAAATTTTCTCATAGTTCCAAGCTCCAATTCACTTTGCAATCAACATAGAAGTTGTTAAGAATATTCTAAGCTTTCCATTGATGCCAAGAACTCTCCATATGGTTTTTTAGAACTCAAGATATGTTTCCTCAAAGATAGGGTGTTCAAGTTGGTCAATTTGATAAAAACTTAGAATTTTTCTAAGTGTTTTTGGTCAGCTTCATGGAGCAAACTTCAAAGGCAAAATTCTCATTGGTCAGGGCTTCAATTCATTTTTCTTTCAACATGAAAGTTGCTCCTCATGCTTCCAACTTTCATTTGGGAACAAGTTCTCACCAATTGGATCAAAATTCACTAAGTTGTCATGGATGAAAGAAGGTTGCATGAACATAGTGGCTAGGCATTTCATGTTACTATTTCTTGGCACATCTTAGAGTTTTTTTTGCTTGCAGCATACTTTTTTAACCAAAACACCACACGCATTACATCATTTCCTTGCCCAAATAAGCCAAACATTCCTCTACAGACACATGTACACAATTCCCTTTTCTTTGCCAAATTTGGAAATGGAAATTTCACAACAACAATTTTGCCTCACCAATCTCATCCACACGTGCTATCCACACGTCCTTCATGTTCATTTCCACTCACCAAAAAGCAACAACAATACCTCATGCCAAACCTGAACCCGAGCCTACAACATGACACGTGCTTCCTTTCATTTTTTTCTCTCCAATCCAAAATAACATACTCTTAACTTATTGCTTTGGTTCCAAGCCTTACTCCCACCCTAAGAGCTCACTGTATAGATAAATCCACTCCAAACCTATGACATTACCTCATTTTTTTAGATCTGAAGCTCTCTCTCTCTCTCTCTCAAGAATTTTTCATATTCGAATCAAGTTTTATCTGCAATTTCTCTTCATTCCCTTGCTTGATTCATCATCCTTGAAGATCATTGAAGCATTCAGTGAAGTTTTCCACAAGCTTTTGCAAGTTTTGAAGGTGCAGTGAACATTCTCCACTAGTTAACATTTCAAGATCTTGTTTCTCTCATTTTAGACACATGATATGTTCATTTTGGGTTCATCTGAAGTCCTACATGTGGTAGGCAATGTTTTCACATCTTATTGTCTTTATTTGATGAACTTCAGTTTGTGTGTTCATGTTTTCGTGCTTGAATTTCATGATGCTAGAGTGCTTATCTATGAAAACTAATGATAGATTTGTGATCTACGTGGAATTTCAAGTGGAGTGGTGTTTTTTTTTATTTACGGGCGTTTTGATGTTGCTCCGGTGGCCTAATGGTCGGAGAAGATGACCGGAGCTTGGGCTCTAGCGTCTTTATGTTATTGGAATGATAATGTGGCCTCAGCGCCCTTTTTAAAATTTGAATGAAATGATGTGCTGCTGCGTGATTTGCCTGCATGCGTGATGTGGATCTGACTGGATTAATGAAGGTGATGTGGACGTGGTGAGGTGGATCTGAATATTTGAGTTGGTTTGGGCCTAACTTTTGTTTTTATCTGCACCCCTCCCCTCTTGGCCCAATGCACGTGTTGAACATGATTAAGTTTATTTTGGAATTAAGTTTGGCACCCCATGGCTTCTATTATCCTATTTTCATTTATTTTTTCATTTTTATTTTAATTCTTGATCTTTTCTTATTATAAAAAATCCATAAAAATATGTTTTATACATTTTAATGTCTCTAAAATTTTATGGTATTTTTATTTTTTATTTTCCATTTACTTTTATATTTTATTTGGAATTAATTGTGAAAGGTGTTTTTACTTAATTGTCCTTGAATTAGGGTTTTGTGTTTGATGCCTTGTAAACCACTTCTTGAGCCAATATTTTGAGCATGTTTAGAAACTTGATTTCTTAAGGTTTGCATGATGTTGTAGTTTCTTGATGATGCATATTTGATAATTTGTTAAGTGATTTTCTTAAGCCTCGATTCATGCTTGTTCAATGAGATCCAATTGTGATTGATAATTGTTTTGATGGTGCACTTGTGCAATTTTCTTTATGGATCTTTTCTCACATGTTCTTGGATGTTTTTTCATGAGATAAAGCCTTGGTTTCTTATTTGTTTTTTTATTTAAATGTTTCAAATTGATGCTTCCTTTTGATGCTACCTTTGAGATGAAGTTTTCCTATCTTTGACCTAGTCTTAGAACTTATTGCTTGCATGATTTTATTGAGGATTGAGACTCTTGTATGAGTTTAATACCTTGTCTAAGATCCTTCCCTATCATGTCTCAATGTTATTTTAGCTTGATCATTTGCTTCTTTTACCTCTCATAGATACTTGCTTCCTTTTAAGGATGATTTTGATTGATGCATACCTAAGTGCTTGTGTAAGTTTTGAGTGTGACACTTGGTGAATCTTCTTGCTATCATGAGTTTGGTTTTGAATTTAAATATTTTTAATGCTACTTCCTCATCATGATTCCATGTCTTAATATCATATGCTTGATTATTTGTTGCTTATTTCTTAGAAGCTAGTTGTTGATAATTGTTTGGCTATTGATGTAGCTTATGTTTGGTACTCTTATGATTCTTTTTCAATCTTTGAAATGTGTTAAACATGGTATGATGTGGCTAATGACTTGTCTTGGTTCTTATCTTACTTGTTCCAATTTTCCTTTGTGTGTTAAATAGTGATGCTTGCTCAATACCTTGAGCCATGTATATTTGTGCACTACTTGTTTGTCATTGTCTAAGTTCCTAAACCCTAATCTTTGGATTCCTTTGAGCATGACCTTGGATTTTTTGAAATGTGTGATAAGTGTTTACTTTACACATATTGGTTACCTTGATTCAAGTTTAAAGTATGTCTTGATTGATGTTTTCCACTTGTGGATTGATTGTTGATTCTTCTTACTTTGTTGAGTACTTGATGGCACGATCTCTATCATCTTTGAATCTTCTTTTCTTTTTCCTTGAGTCTTGCTTACTTGAGTGTGTTTATGTTTGTGATTGAGTTGTCTTGTGTTTACTTGTGCTTTGATCACATTCTCCCTTAAGGTTCCTAGTCCAACTTAATTTCTAATTAAGTTTGGAGTAGGATAGACATTAGGCTCTCTATTCTTTACCTGATAACATTAGGGTGGTTCCCTTTCAACCTAAACCTTAAGTCCATCTCTTGTATGATAACATTAGGGTAGAATTCCCCTTCTCATATCAACTATAGGACCATTTTGCATGACAACATTTAGGGTGGAGATCCCTTAACATTTTTCTTTTGCCCTTTGAGTCTCTCTCTTCTCTCTCTCTCTTAAATTAAGTCAAAATACGTAATAAATACGAGGAGTATAGTAAGTCATAAGCCTTAAGTACATGGGAAATGATAAGCGGGAGTCTCTCTTTATCTTGTCTAGAGTGCTTTGTATACGTTCCATTTTGGATCGATCTTGCAAAGTATTCGATCCTATGTCATATACTTTAGTACGATGCGCATCTCAAACAAAGTCAATTAAATTATTTAAAACACTTAAAAAATGCAAACCATTTTGTCCTTCAAGATTTTCTCCTCATGCCTTTTCAAAAAGGGAATGTTACTTCCTTTCTACCGTAAACAGGCAACGTCCCTAACTGTTGGAATGCGAATGTTAGCATTGCTCATAAAAGACACTAAGCAACCCATGGTCCCACGAACTATGAACGCTCTAATTTCTTCATTCTCGTCTGAGTGAAGATACATAGGCACAAGATGGAGAAGTCTTGGCGAGCACAATCCCCCTTTTCATCCGTAGTCCTCCGAACTATATTGAATATAACTTTCCTATTGCACGAGGGAATACGTAGGCATAGGAAGTCGAGGTCATATCGAGTCTCCTTTTGTTTTTCCCTTTTCATTTCTACTTTCCCTTAGTAAGTAGGTCTTTGATTAGAACAACAAGAGTGAATCCTGTTGAGTACAACAGACACGGGGGTGATAACACATTCCTCTCGCATAATTCACTCTTGAATCCGAAATTTGTTTATGAGACCACGTTCTTTCTTTTTTTGAGGTTTCTTTGATCGTTTCCTTTTCCCTGTCGAGATACATAATGTTCGGTGCCGACTCTGTTTCCCGCCAGTTATTTTTTGCGTTGCAATAAAGTGCAACTAATATGTTGCAATTAATGTAATATGTTCGAAGAGATTTAGAGTACATGCCAAAATGGATGGGAGAGGAGGTGTGGAAGAAATTAACGGTACATTGGAATTCCTCCAAGTTCAAAAAGTATCTGCAATAAATAAAAGAAACCATTGTTCTATGGATGATGCATCTCTTCACACTGGAGGATCTATTCCTCATCGTTTGCATTGGAAAAGAATTGTATTATAAGTTTTATTTATATTTCATAAATTAGTATTTATAATATATGACATTATTTTTTTGTAATTGATAGAAAAAGGAAAAGGGTGCTGATCCATCGTTGACTGAGTTTTATTTTAGCACCTATCAAAGAAAGGGTCAAAGTTGGGGGATGTTCACGCTGAATCTGCATATGTAAATACTCTGAATCAATTCTATATTTATAGAATTAATTTTTACTCTTTTAAAATCCAAACCAAACTAAATTCTATCACTATGCTACTAAACACAAAAATTAGTACATGCATGCACCCAAATTTGTTATACTTAACTTCCTTACTGCATGCATTCGCACTATACTTAACTTTCCTGCATTTGAACAATAAATAGGAGTTTTAATGTAAAAGTTGAATTTGTGATCATGGATGTGTAGATTTCATTTAATGTTTTGGTATTTATTTGTGAGAATGAGTTCAACTCAACATAAAAAGCTCACTATAATCATCACAATAATATTACATTACAATTGGAGTTATGACTCAACAATAGGAAATAATAACTTCTAAATGTAAGCAAACCTTTTATTAGTCTTCCCCTCGTGAATGAAGTTTTCTGAGGTCATCTAGACTTGATTTTAAGGAGGCTCATTCAAGCAAATCTATCAACCAGAATATGGATTTTCTTGAATTATCTTCGGACCTTCAATCTGCTATCTCAGAAGAAGAAAAACGTTTAATGTTACAGCACACAGTAGAACCATTTGGTTGGAATTTTATTACAATAATGTTCACATATGTTAACACAATCTCCTAATAGTTTCTATCTATCTCCTATATAAACTACTAATAGCTAAGATACAATTATGTTGGAGATCAATGATGGTTAATTGATAGGTTGGTTAACTTCTTGAATATGCAATCCCATGTGTTCTTTCATTTTGAGCCTTTGACTTTAATCTTTGATCTTTAATTGACCCTGTTATACATTCTGAATAAAAATAAATAATTCATCAGAAACTCATTGAATGCAATTAAACATTTTTCGAATAAAAGTAAGTAGTTTTAATGTGTTTAGAGTTGCTTTTTGATTCATATGAGATGGACCTTATTATTATGTCTGTAAAATTTTAATTCCTTATTATATTTTTTGAATTTTCTTTTAGGATGAATTTAAACTGAAATAGTTGGATATTTCTTCTTAGAATTCAACTGTTCCAAGAGAGGATGAAGCTGATACTCAACCTACTGATCAAATACTGCCTGATTTGGATATATGGGCGGAGTCATTTGGAAAGAAGAGAGGGAGGGTATTTAGTATTGGAGCTGTTGCCAAGACTTTGATTCCATTATCAACTCAACCAATTCTTTCGAGTAACTCTCGAGAGGTTTATGATTTGAGAAGTCAAGTCCATGCTCTCAATGCATCATTGCAAAGACAAGAACAAGAGAAGTTGGAGATGAAGCAACAATTGTAACAATAAGAAAAAAAGATTATTGAAACGAACAATAAACTTTCATTGTTAATGAATCATTTATAATTTGTTGCATCTTCTTCTCATCAACCCCAAGTCAATAATGAAATTGATAATCCAAATGAATAGGGTGTTGATGAATCAGATGAAGACATTTGTGAAAGCATTAGTAGTGAATTTTGATTTGGATTGTTTTTTATTGTTAACTTACCTGAAATTTGGATTGTTTTGTCTTATTAACTTGGTTGGACAAGTGATTATTAGTAGCTTCGTTGTGTCATTTTTAGTAATGTAACTCTAGAAGTACTTGTTATTGACTTTATAGTAATATTTAGCAACTTGATTACTTTAAAAATTTGAATGTGATTAGTTTTGAATTGTCTTATTCAAATTAGATTTTTATTTTATATTATTGCTACTTGGATATTTAACATTAATTATATATAAAAATGAATTAAACATAATTAATAATTAAATTAATAAATTGATAAAGAAATTACCTACGGATTTTGAATTTGTTGTGACCTTTCTTAGAAAATTCAGTTACCTGTGGTCCTATCAACGGATTTACCTGTGATTTTAGGTTTTTGCTTTGGATATTTTCTGCAGTTTTTCCTGCGATTTTACTTGCTAAAATAATTACCTATAAAGATTTTAGCTGGAACAGAAAATGACAGGAAAAACCGCAGGTAAGCAGAAATTTTGTCAAACTCCGCATATAAATCTACAGTAAATTTTTTTTATGGTAGTGTTTTTTCTTAACTTGCCCAGGGCTATTTGTCTATGTAGTTTGGTTCTATCAAACCACTCCATGTTTGGATGCCTTCATTCATATTTCTCTGATGTTAAAATTGCTACTATTGTTCAAAATTAATTTATTTGAAAAACAAAAGCATGAGTTTTAGAAAATATTATATTAACAACTATTAGATTCTATTTGCTAGGCGAAAAAGCTAATGGTGTTACTCACTCTCTATTGTATTTCTTGCAGTAACTTTCATTATATGTTCTTGTTGTATTTTCATTTTTAGAAATACACAGATTACATGTAGATTTTTCTGCAGAAAATTATCCGCAGGTATGCCTACGAATTTATATTGTAAAAAATTATTTTCTACAAAAAAGTGAGGTAGCAGCAAATTCTATCAGCAAATTCCACAAGAACTCTTGAGATTTTACCTGCAATTTTAGATTTTAAAATAATATGTAAAAAAATTTTATTTCTTTGGTAGAAATTAGTTATCCATTAAAACCTCAAAATCCTCTGAAAATTTTGTAGGAATTGCTGAGACATTTGCTGCGAAATTTCCTGTGAACTTTACTGTAACTTTTATTCTGGATTTTTTAGTATTATTTTTTAAAATTAATTATATTTTTACTATTAATAAATAAAATTATAAAACATAAATGACATATTGATTCTAAGGGATATTTCATCGAAAATTGTAATTAACTAAATATATTAAATTTTATAAAGTACTTGTGTAAGTGTCTGATTGATGTCATAAAAGTAGACTTGAAAAGAAACTTCGTTATTGTTAATAGTAAAGTGCATCCAAGTTTTCAGTTAAGGAGAAAATTAACATGATTGACTACACTAGCTACATAGATTTATCCAAATAACTAGGTCATTATGTGGGAAATCAGTGATGAAGCAAGTAATGAAGAGCTTGTTGAGTGTTGCAACTGTTTGGATAAGTCTTTTATTGATACATGTTATGTTACTTATAAAAAAGTCCAAGGTATTGATGCTCTTGAATTCTGAGTAGTTGAGAAAGGAACATTCTAGAAGATTCTTGAGAGCCAAGTTGAAAGAGATTTATCTATGAGCATTCCTTCTAAGTAAAACTTCAAGAGTCAGATTTGTTAAAACTTCAGGAGTCAGATTTCTATGAACCCTCCTTACAGCCCTCGTTTAGGATCATAGACTTAGGTTGAAAAGAAGACAATGAAATTGGTGCGTAATATGCTAAAATTTGTTCACCTGCATTATGAGTATATTTGTGCATTTATAATACCTATTTTTAGAAAAATATATGTTGCACCAGTAATGTGAAATTATTAGGCCATTCTCATTAGATTATTGATAACAACAATGAAAGTAGAATAAATTTCATTTAATTTTTTATTCTAGAAATACATTACCTGCGGATTTATCTGTGGATTTATCTGTGGATATAGATTCCTGTGAATTTACCTGCGGATTTGTGATTTTACCTGCGGTTATTTTTCCTGCAAATTTTCTTGCGAGTTTACCGCAGAATTTTAGCTAATATCAACAGGTAAATCCGCAGGAAATAAGACTATTTCTGATAACACTAGGATGAGGTTTTCTTTCTATATTACTCAATCTAAATTAAAAAGTTTTCAATGATACGAAAATAATAAAGAAATCTCCAAGATCATTATAGAACATTTTCCCAACCTTTTCATTCCATCTTACTACCTAAAGGTACAAATTCATGACAATGACAAAATTTAATAATATGCTGATGCATTCTTATGCTAGAACTATGACCGTTTCTGGATTATTGTTTTAAAACAATTTTTAAGATTAAATTTTAGGTTGGGTGGGCAATATTATCTCCTGGCTAGGTTAGGTTTGAATATCCAAATCGGTTGGCATTTTTTGGAGGAATAGAATAATTAAATTTGGAACATGACTTGTCTTGTTAAATTAATAATTAATATCTTCTCATATTAGCAATGAAATGCCTTGATTTTTATTCTGTATGTTACAAGAAATCTTGAACATGGAAACACTTCTAACCATGAAACGAATGATAAATAATTTTAGGCCTAAAAAGATGGATTCCAAGTGGGGATGAGACCCAAACCTGCTGTGTTAGAGGACAATGCATAAAAAGATGTTATTGGCATTCCTTTTCATTAAAATCTTATTCAACAAGGGTTGTCACAAATTTATAAATACACACTTATTGTTATTTGGATTTAAATTTTACATTTGCATGTTTTTGTTATGTGTAATTTCTAGCATAAGCTCTAGTTATGGTATATATGATTTCCCTTAAAATTGCATGGAGGATAAGGGTCGGCACAACCCGGTTTTGGAGGTCTGAAAAGCTCCTTTTTATTTGTGGATTATCAAAACAAAACAAAAAATCGTGGATAAAAAAGAGTTTCTTTTTTCTTTCCTTATATCCAATATATTAACATAAAAATTATTGAGTGCATGTTAAAAGTAAAATTTATAGTTAAATATATTGTTGATATATAAATATGCCATTTTTTAAAATATTTTTCTCTACACAATGGTTACTTATCTTTCATTTTAAATCTATTTATAATTTATTATAAAGTGTTATGTTCTTATATAAACAAAATATATATATTTATAAGAATACGGAAAATATTTGAAGACTATTGTTTGGAAAAATATTTTAAGGGAGCAAGAAAAAAAAGTCAAAAGAAATAAAAAAAAGTCAAAAGAAACAAAAAAAAATATTTATATAATACTCATGAATTTAATAAATACAATAGAAAAAAATTCTAATTATATGTTAGAATGGTTTTAACTTAAACGATTAAATTTGTGTAAATAAAATAAAAACGGGATTGTTTTTTCCACTTCCTCCATACTCTAGTGAAAAATAAAAAATATCCATAAAATTTAAAAATATACTTCCAATCGCACCCTCTTATACATAATTCATTTATTATTGAGTCAAACCTCAATTTTATTTTAAAAATTAATACGGAAATGTATC